ATGCAACCTTTCCTGGCACCCTGAGGGCAGCAGGACGGCCGGACGTCGGCTTGCAGGGAGGGGGCTGAGGGCCGCCCTCACCGGGCGCCCGAGAACCCCTCCGAACCAGAATGGGAGCTCGGTGAGTTGAGCGGAATGGCCGCGAACATGCATCCGATTGTGTAACTCGCGGCTCACTTGCTAATTGGCTGTCCAGACTCATAATTGGAGATAAGTAAGCAGACAAGATCCCTCCAGTCAGTTGCCGTCCTGGTTTGCACTAGATCTTTATTTTTATGCAATGCAGAGGTCGGCAGCGTGGGGCCGTGAACTGTCATCTCAACCGGAGCTATAAATTCAGACTCCCATTGATCACCTAGGTGTGCTGTTGTTGCCGAAGACGCAGAGGTCAGCGGAGAGTCAGAAATACAAAGCAGCCAATCCATGTATTGGGCAAGCATACAAGGGAGACGGTGGTAGTAAATCTGGATTAAAGTACTGAACCGATGAGGTGCAGCAGTGAGGGGGAGAGGGTGGGGGGGGGGGCAGGCAAAGAGGCAGTGCTCTTTTTTTGTTATCTAACGATGTTTGTCTCATTGAGGAAAGGAGCTGTGGCATATTTAATTACAGCAGTTCAGACTGTTATTTAATGTCATTTATTTAAGTTTAACTTGGTGACTCACTGACACGGTGATAAACTGGCCTTCCTGTCTTAAGTCCTCTGACTTATCCGTTGTGGGAAAGGTTGACAGAAACGAGAGGATACAGTATCGCTGCTCAAGTACTGATGGTCAGGGGTGTTGGTGAGTAGGCTCTGTGACAGCTCTACTTCCATTAAACGACTCAACAATGTTTAAGAACTCTGGCTAAAGGATTATCAGGACAGGAAATTTACCACAGTTAGAACTTTATCATAGTTGGGCATTACACTAGAGAGGTCTGTAGATTAAAATGCACTGAGTTTTAGGGTGCCCTCCAATAGTAAAACACGACGACTCAAAGGATGAAAGGTGTCCCATAGAGATGAGTGAACACCTGAAATTGTTGTTGTAAACAACTGAAAGTCCTCCCCCTCCACCAGACCCTAACCTGAGCTGGTTGAAGACTCTTATCAGGGGGACAGCGTCATCAACATTAAGCCAGGTTACATTAATTGGGTTGCAGATGATATAATCTTGGCAAGTAAATGATTTCTTGGAGAGGGACCTAATGTTACAGTGTGGCCAAAAGTATGAGTATGATTTACAAAATGTAGGTTGTATGTGTTTCTGTGATTTGCATGGTCTGTATATATTTTTGTAAAAAACATTTGAAAAATGAACACCAGAAACATGGCTATTAAAAGCACAGGGAGCACGAGAGCTGCTGTTGTATAAAGCGGGTATATAAAAAGGGGTGTTTTTTAAAGAGCTCCTTAGCTTGAGAGGGGTCGCGCTGAGGTGTGGCTCAGTCAAGTGGACGTCAATGAGCATCAATGAGAGGAAGAGGGAGACCCTTACTGACTCTTGGGATGCGGTTCATGGTCTCTACTTTTGTAATTACAATGTGATTGTTTTACTTTAAACCTTATAGTGTTTTGTGCATTATTATTTCATGGGTATTGAGTGTATTCATTTACAGTTTTGTCGACGCCCAACAGTATACGTTTTAGCTTGACTACACCGCTAATGAACAACTGAAAAGGGATACGATTTGCATCTGCTGCAAACTATTGATTGGCCGGGCTGACTTGGCCAATAGAAATACACAGCATGCGGGACTTAGCAAGGATGACAAACTGTTTCTTTAATGGGCAATCTAAGAAGAATTTTGGGGTTCTGGTTGTTGATAATCTCTTTATTTGAAAGTGATCTCAGCTCGTAGACTCCTTTTGTTGATCTGCAGTCGTCATTTCTTGTGTAACAGTGTAATAGTTTAAGGCCATGCTGCAGACACAACTTAATGCTTAATCGTTATATACAGTGAGAAGTATAATGCCTGTTTCACTGATCGTATAAAGATTTAGTGATATTAATCAGTATGTGTATCTCAGCAGTCCATACAAGGCAGCATATGGGTTCTGTAGTCATGTGACACCTTCAGAATCCTCATAAAGAAATATAATGGCAAAGGTGTCTGTGTTCACTTTTGTTACATTTTCACAAATTTGGATTCTGCGGCTCATTTTGGTTCTTAAAGTCTTCGGTACCAGGATGTATGAGAGGCCAGCTGTTTGTCACTAGACTCAGATCTGTAGTCATGGGAACCTAAAGGAACCATGGGAACATGCCCTGTAACCCAGTCTCATAGGGCCTCAGCTGTGGTCCTGGTGTGCAGCGGGTTACCTCTCATTAGCAGAAACCTGCCTCTGTACCCCCCCTGCATGCTATCTGTCTTTTATCTGTCACAACGCTGACTGCCATTCTTTAAAGTTTGAATTTCTGTCTTCTCATCTCATCTTTGATGCTGGTTTCTTTTCTTTTCTTTGTCCCTGTTTTCATGATTTGATACCCTCCAATCTTTGTCCTCTACCTCTCATCGGCATAGATCTTTCAGGTGCAGAAGGTAGGCCTCCTCTTGCTGGTTTCCACCTCATTTCTTTTGAGCATGGTTGTGCGATTATCCTGGGCTTCAAATTGTGCCCAAGAAAATAATGGAAGTCTGTTATCTGTGTTCTCTTTCCTGTTTTTTCTTTTTTTCTTGTCCTCATTTCCTGTCTCTTCGTAGAAATATTATGGCTTGGACACCAAATTAGACGACCGAGCGGACAGCAAATGGGGAGATATTGAACAGTGGATGGTACAGTGTTTCTGTGCTGTGGTGACGACACTAAACACTGTGCATGTGTTTTTGTGACGCTGATGTTTCTGTCTGTAGAGGCTTTTGCAGCATGCAGAGTCTGCTTTTGAACTCCAGATAATTCCTGTTGAGCCTTTTTAGAAAATAACAGATTATAAAGAATCAAAGCTTGGCCATTAATGATAATCCACTTATTCAAAGGAGCAGGGTGCCCGTTTGGCTTTGAATCAGCCTGACCATCTGCCCCTTTGGTGTGAGACTTCATGAGGATTTACTGTGTTGAATTCATCACTTTAGTCACTGCGGTTGACTCGTCCCAGACCATCGGAGCGTCCAACCCAGCAATGAGGATACTCGTAGTGTGTGTGTGTGCCTTGTAATCTGACTAACTGCAGAGTGTTTTTTCTGTTGTTGTTGTTCACTAAAGTAATTCATTTACTGTATGTTGCAACTTGAGGTGACTGTGTTTCTGCATGAGTGCCTCAGTGATTGGTCGGCTGGAATACTGGCTCAGCGAGTGATTTGTTTTAAGAACATGCATGTCTGGAAAAGGCTTCTGGATTTGTTTATTGCAGGAATTGTACAAATGTGTTCAAATGAACCAAAAAGCATAAAGATGTAACCTGGTGCCCAATTTTGTCTACATGTGTTCATTCGGCCAAATGTCTACCATCTGATGAATGACTGGCCAAAATAATTGCAGTAAACTATATCACAATATCTAGATCCTAAAATAAAATGAAATAAAAACAGAAATTGTCAGTCTTTCAAATTTAAAATGTTATTGGCGGGAATGCAAACATGTGGTCACCACTGGGATCAGTCATTCAGTGCCTCTACCTCCCTCGTGCATCTGTCTCATTGATCTTTGACATCTCTCTCTCCTCCTTGGCACCCTTCACCTCCTCTCTTCTCTTCTCTTCTCCATGTGCCCCCCCCCCCCCCAGGAGGACAGTGAGAGATACTCACGTTCTTCACGGATACAAACGGTTTGTAGCCCCCCCTCTGTTTCCTTCTCCTCATGCCTTTCCTCTGTTACCTTGTCCTCCACCACTTGGAAAAAAGTTGAATGAAATACATGAAACCCAGTATCAAATGTTGGCCTCAGATTAATAGATTAATAATAATAATTTATAAATAGATTTAGATAATGTGGTCCAAAACATTATTATAATTAATAATAATATTTAGAATAAAAAAGTAGTTTTTTTTTTCAAATGACAAACTATGCTGAATAAAAGAGAAATTCTGGATCTTCTATGTACAGGTACATTTCTCTCTCTCTCTATATATCTATATATATATATATATATATATATATATATATATATTAGTATTTTGTACGTGGCCTTTATTAGGCGGAGTGTCCAAGTGTTTGTTTTTCCAACTGTTCCCAGTGAGGAGGGAGTGTATGCTGCCTCGAGAAAAAGCTCCTCACCAGCTTTTATCTTTTAGTTTGCTGCGACTTATTTGTGCAGCCGCTCTGAGCGCTTCTAGTTAAACATCTCTGGTGTCCCCAGCGCCCTATGGTGCTATATGGACACTCGGCCTTAGCTACTGGCCTAAGCTAGCGACACTAACAGTCAATCCTCACCAGCTTTTAGAATGTACTGTAGCAAAGCCCTGAAGTAAATCAGTCATTTTGAATTGTGATTTTTCGTTTTTTCTTTGACTTTTTATTTATTGTTTTTGCTTTGGTTTTCCACAAGAGAATTTCTGTTGATTACTTTTTTCCTCATCTTAATTAAAACAAAGGTCACATAAAATACTCAACAGATGAACAAACCATGTGTCGTTGCAGAGGGACACGTCCTGTCATCATTTACTGTTCACTGTCATTGTTGATGCAGATCACACACAAAGATCCAAACCCCTAACCATCCATTTCAATCTCTCACTCTCTCACACAGCTCTCGGACGACGATGAGCGGGCGTCAGTGGGAAGCCGGGGCAGCGTCAGGGTCAGTATCACTCAAACGGCACACGCATTCAAAATCCGGACATTCTTCATAGCTCCTTTTTATTTCAATGATTATCAAACACCTTTTTGCTTTTTCAATAACCACGATGGACCTTGTGTCTGTCTTTGGTAACTTAACAAGGTGGCACATGTTGATGATGATGATGATGCTGTGTCTTTTGCACAGTCTGATCTTGATGCGGTTGGGGCTTATGGTGGAGGGGTAAGGGTTGAACTTGTGGTGGGAATGAGTCGTTTTTTGACTAACAGTTTTATTTGAGACCTCAAAGCATGGAGTAAATCTGCCTTATCCTTGTGATGATACATCTCTCTTTATAATACAAAGCATGTTTGTGTGCTCACTTCATGGAGTGAATTAGATGGATTTGAGTTTTATATTCTGTCTTGTTTGCAAGATGAAAGTTTCTTTAAGGATTCTACATTTATATTTTGAGATTGTAGATGAACAGTTCCGATACATTTGGTGAACTAATGTGTAGGAATCAATCCATGAATGTGGACTAACTCACTACGTTTCATGTAATCCCATCAAGTGATTATGTTCGGTCATGTGCTTGTTCTTGCTGTTGTGCAGGGGCATTGACTACCTTGGAGTCACTTAGGTTTGATTTTGACCAAAGGAACACTGTGTGCCATAGGGCTATCGTGCTCCAACCAAAACACAGTGCGCACTATTTAAGGCTCTGTTATGTCTCAAAATGTTAAGCGCCATTTTTTTCTGCGCTATGTAATGTGGAAAAATTCTTCATATTCATCATTCTCATGGGCGTAGGAGATCCAGTGTATTGGACTCAGTGGGTTTACTCGCTGAATCAGTGTGGTCAAATATCTTGATGGTGAAGGGATAGTTTGGATGTTTGTTTAAGTGGGGTTATATGAGGTACTTCTCCATAGTCAGTGTGTTACTGACAGTAGATGGAGTTAGGAGAAAGCAAAACAATGTACTGCTGTGGACTGGGGAGCAACTAAACCTGTTTCTGACACCTATCAGCTTCTGTTCTCTGTCAGAAAGTCCAAAATACAAACTATCCCGTTGCATTTTCTGTCTGGTATGTGCCGTGTGTTGCTTTGGTTTTTCTATTAATAGTGACAGTAACTAATAACAATGTCGTTGCTGTGTGTATACATTCTTCAGAGAGGCGAGAATAGAATTGTACATATAGCCTGCTTTCACCCTTCACCATTCTCCCTCTCTTTCTCTCACCCTAAGGACTCAAATAAGAAGTCAAAGAAAAAGAAGAAACAAAAGCACAAAGACAAAGATGTATGTAAACATTCATCCTGTAAATGCAAAAGTGGCCCACACAGAAACAGTTTGTCACTCGTGTTCTTTGTTCGCAGAAGAACGGCTGTGACGATGATTACAGTGTCGTGTCCAGCAGGGTTAGTAGCTGTGTGTGTTGAACTGACTGTTGTAGAGTGACGGAGTGCTTGCACATTTCGAGACAACCTGTCACTCATCAGCCTCCTCTTTGTCCTGCTGTCAGAGCTCCAGACTCGGTGATGAAAGCCGAGCGTCTCGCTCCTCCAGGCTAGACCTCACGGTGCGTGTTGGCCCCCCCTCATCCTTATTGCTGAGTAGCTGTAAAATGATGTTATATCAATTCATTTTTGGTGTGATAAACCAGACACAACAGCGTTGTGTCGAGGGCAAACTCTTCTGTTGACACCATGGTGCAGATTGTAATTTGCTTTGAAAAGCAGATTTTGGTAGAAATAATCACATTGTCTTTGAGGCAAACTGCAGTGGGTGGAGCTAAAATGAAACAATGTAGCATGTCTGTTCATTATGTTTAAACCAAGCCCCCAGAAAGAGCTCTGGGTAATTAGGCAAACTTTACGTAGTGGCCAAACGGTGTAACTACAATGTCTGGGACCGTCACGAGATGCCATTAGACTCAAAAATACTTTTTTTTTTTCTCCATGGACTTGCATTGAAAGGGGCATCTGTAAACCAGTGGATAATAGTTTTGAGGTAAATCAACTTCCCAGTTGAACACTTGAAAAGCCCTTGTTTGGAGCTTGCAGCCCTTGGAGCTTAAGAGGTTAAATTGTTAGGTCCTAAAAGTTGTAAAAATGCACTTATAGCCGAATCCAGAGTAACTATCCTTCCTGGCTGGACCCAGACCTGGGAGGCGGGGTTACTGTATTGGCTCATGGATGCGGAAGGTCATTTTATACTCGGAAGTCAGAGTTTTTGGGTGGTGACGTCATAAAATATAACTACAAACATTCAAAGCCTCATTTGAAAACCTCAATAGAAGCTTTGAACGTAAAAGAAGATGACATTGGGTACAGCCATAACAGAAACCGGGCAACTTTGAGTGGTATTGGTTGTGTGTGTGTGGCCGAGATGAAACAAGATCTAACAGGTTGCTACCATGCAGGGAGGAAGACATTCTCACCAATTTAATAATCAATACATTTCTTCGCCTTTGATTAATCTCTTGAAGATGACCAAAATGACCCCATTACATGACTACGCTCCTCCACTGGTTTGTGCACAACAATGTAACTATGTGAAAGAGTGAACAGGACTTTCCAATGGAAGGCAGCAATAAGCTAAAAGTCAGTTTGAATTCTAACGAGATGAAGAACTGGCAACATTGAATAACGAAGGAAGAGCTGCTTAAACAAACAAATGGCGAAGACGTTTTCATTCATCCTTAAAGTCGTGCTAATCCTACCTGGTTTGATAAACTGGTTCTTTGGTTTAACCTAATTATTTCTACCTCTGACATATCTATTTAACTACACCTCTATGAGGTTTTTTTAAACCCAGCTTTAATAACAAGTTTCCAAACCACTAACGGCATGTGATGTGTGAGTAAGTTGATCCTGGGTGGTGGTGTGGTGTCGGATAGAATGCTGTTTGATATTGTCACCTGTGCTCCCGACCCTCAGAGCTCCAGACTGAGTGATGACACCCGGGTGTCTCGTGCCTCCAGATTAGACCTGCAGCCGGTGGGTGGCATTGCACCCAAGACTTTTCCCCCTAATACCACTAATGGCCTTTGGTGCACACTTTTATTATTGTTTAAAGTTGTGTTTATTGAAAAAAATGAGTGTTAAGATCAACTGCTTACTACGGAAGCCCTAAACGGACATAATTCAAATATTCTTTTTTTTTTTTTTTTTAAACCTGTCTCTCAAGATAACATCATTAAGTCGTGATTTTAATATAGCGATAACAAACTTAAAAAAACGTTTAAGCACTAAAACAAGCTTTACCATCTCAAGATCAGTCGAAAAAATGTAATATTCCCAACAAAAGGTTGTTTCGTTGTATTACTTGTAATGTTTGGGTCAAATCATCTCACCGTGAATGTATTCAAACAGCCCAGTACGAGCTGACAGTGCTGTGAAGTTAGTGGAAGGATACATATGTGACTAAATCTGTTTTTAAAAAAAAAAAAAAAAAAGGAGGTAACAAGGGTACAAATTCATGAGATAAACCGGAATATATTTAGTAGAAGTAAAAACACATGATGCCTCTGACCCTTATGAATTAAAGATAAAATACCACAGAATTGTGTGAGGAATACATTTTTGGGTTACTGGAAAAATTAAATGAATGATTCCTGACAATGACATATACTTGGGTTGAAGACATCTCTGACTACTTATAAACACTAACTCAAGCATTTTTACTCTTATCAATTATTATATTTTCCATTTTAAAAGTCACTATTTTCTACCGTGGAATACTTGAGGTTTAATAAACACATTGCTCCAAAATTCCTGACAATCATTGATATATTTGACTTCGTGATATCTCTGAGTAAATACATTCTGAAATGTCTTCAGATCTGAAGACACATGTAGCTATTTCAAATGTTTGACTTTTACTTTGGAAAATCTCTTAATTGAGACAGTAAATATGCTTGATTTTCAGTTTGAAGTCAGAGATGTCCTGAAGTCAAATATGTATTTCTTAAGAGAGATAAAAAGCTTGTTTGAATCATGTCCGTTTAGGGCTTCCGTAGCTTACAACCAGTGATGATGTTGATTGTTTTACTGAAGTATAATTTTCATTGAGGCATGTAGTGCGTTGCTTAACAGTTTCTAATCAAGCTTTACTGTGGATTACTTAGGAATACATAGGTGCATGTATTTTTTTTTTTGATGTATTTAATTGCCACAAGACTTCCCCGTTGTTGTGGACTCTTTGTGCTGCATTTCCCAGAGATGTCCCAGTGGAGTCAGTACTGTGACATCTTTTTAAAATAGTTCTGTGTTGAGTTCTGGGTCGCAACAATCTTTTCATCGTCAGTCCAGCCATTTGGCAAGCATGCTGATTTCCTTTTTGTTCTGCGTGTTAAAAACAAGCTACACTCATGACGTCCAGAGATGAATGTCAGGTGCAAGTTCTACTTTGGGCGAAGAGTTGTGCCTCCTTCTCTTGGCTCCTTACTCGTTCTTCCTCTTTCCTCATTTCAGGCCTCTTATGCTTCCTCTGACTTGTACAGCTTCAATGGTCTGTCCTCTTCCAGAAAACCAGGTTCATCTTTCAATGATTACCAGGTCTGTACACGGGGCAAATGCTATCGACAAGACACACACTGTGAACACTTCAAATGTCACAGCTGCTCTGTTATCTGCTAGCTGACCATTGACCCCTCTGTGGAGAGGGACAAGAGAAACGCATAATAAATCAAGTTAAATCATCCTTCATTCTTAAGTTTTTACAACCTGTTCCAAGCTGCCTCCCTTAAACCTCATCCTGCTGCTTACACTGTATGGGTGACGTGTGAGCGTACTGCTTACACTGTATGTGTTTGTGTGACGTGTGCAGAGCTCCTTGTATGAAGATGGCCTCAGCGGTGGGTCACAGCGAGTCTCTGGCTCCAGCTCTCGAGTAAGACTCTCTTGGAATTGTGGCCTTTGTTGGTTTGACTCACCTGAGAGCGGCGGGTGTGAACAGTGGTTTCAGAGTGGGAAACTAGTGTGAAATAATGAAATGTGTGAAGTTTGCTTTGGTTATGTTCTCATTTCAGACCGTCTCCTTATTTTAAGTGTTTGTTTTTTTGTTTGCATGGGAGTTGCTGTAGATTGTAATGTAATTGGATTTAAATCTCTAATATGTGTGCGTTGTTAAAATGTCATTTATATGCACATTTAAGCAGATTGTGATTCTGGAATCATTCCTCTCCAGCATGTATTTGCTACTAGTACTGTTAGTGTGAGTATGATGATGATAGTGATGCATTTTATTTAGGAAGCACTTTAAACTCAAACACGCTGCACAGAGGAGACAAAATAGAGAGATATATTTAAAAGCATGCATGTGCATGCTTCTTTGTTTTTGCCTGCAGGTGTACACAGAAAGGTAACGGTGTGTTTTCTCTGCAGCCTTTAGAGTACACTAGTTATCGCAGCTCCAGCTCCAGAGCCTCGTCCAGGGCCGGTTCGGCCCGCGCCAGCCCAGTGGTGAGCCTCCACCCTCCCAGACACCCACCCTGCTACCAGCCCGGGGTTTAGATCCCACCAGCCCACATGTAGATTAGCTTTGTAACCACACAAGTCTATGACTGAACTCACACGACAACATTTTGTTTATGTGCCAAGTGGACACCATTGGACACACTGACATAATCAGACTCTGTTCCTTCATGATGGTGACTCAGACTTGGCATGGTTTGTACAATTTGGAAGTGTGTGAAAACAAATGTTGTTCTGTGGGCAGAGTACAAGCAGGTATTTCCTGGTGGACCTGTACAGCACAGCCATTACAGGATTCATGTTTTTATGCTAGTGAGCCATTAATGGAAGCTCAGAGAAGCATAAGAAAATCACATTCATGCCCTGAATACAACTATGAAGTGTGTGTGTGTGTGTGTATGTGTATGTGTATGTATGTGTATGTGTATGTGTATGTGTGTGTGTGTGTGTGTGTGTGTGTGTGTGTGTGTTCATCAGTCCAGTTTTAGACAAGCCACAGTGCAGTGGCTGACCATTTGTCACAAGCCTGTAGCAACAGAGTGAGTTTTAACTGATGGTGGCATCTCCCAAAAAACAATTGTTTTTTTAAATATTATTTTTTGTATTTAGATGTATATTCTATCCGGTCCATTCAGCCGTTGACGATGTCCATTCATCAGTCACCGGCTGAAGAAGCAGTTTTTGTATTTATAAATGTTACTACTGTATGGTGTCCGTTTTTCACGAGAAATCATGTCTGAGAAATGTGATGTATGCATTGTTTTTAAGGGATAGGATGTAATAACATATAATGGGAAAGAAGAACACAGGTAACAAACGTGTTACTCTGCTCTGTTTTTCGTTTCTTTGTTGCTCTGTTTCGCCCCCTGGTGGCCGGCGCAGGAACACAGCGTCTCTGTTGCCAGTTTTTTGAGGAGCGCGGCCGGTAGCGGCGGCCTCCACCGGGACCTGGACGATGTTACAATTCCTGACTTTCCCGATGTGAGTCGCTTTGCCGCCGCGGCTGTGATGTGAGCTGACTTACTGTTTGGTTGCTTTATTTATTTATTAATTTTGCCACTCGTCGTTCCTGTGTTGTGCACTTCACCCTGCAAGGAGGGCTGATTGCACGCTGTGTTTGTGTCGGAGGTTAGGTCATGGGTTGACTGTGGAGACTACCAGAAGATTGGTGTGTGTGTCTGTGTGTGTTTCAGGCTGGGAGGGACAGCTGAAGTGCCCTGTTGTTTGAAGTGTTTTTTTAACACATGATCTGTTGTTGAATGGAATACTGTGTCGTTTTGTTTTGGGGATTTTTGACACCTCCCGTTGTAATTATTTGCATGGCGTTGTTTATTCGAATACATTTGTGCCTTTTCTTACTTACGTTCATGTGTATAAACTATATTGGAACACGTGTAATCACCGCTGAGCAGGCTGTAGTGAGGATTTTGGGACTTCCTCCTCCCTCGTTGGTCTCCTCGCCGTGGCCTCCACTTCACCCTCTGTTTGTTCTCACTGTTTTTTTTTTTTTTTGGTTTTTTTTGTCTCAACAGGTGGAGGACAGAGATTATCTTGAGAAGGTGAGTGGATCATCACCACATGCTGTGTATGTAGTTAGTCAAATGCTTAAAGGGACATCAGTTAGAATAATGAGTACTTTGTATTTTATTCTGATTGTGTGCTTTAGTAAGGAAGCCTTGAGAGGTATTCTGGTGATCCTTTTCTTAGTCTGATCGTAATTGTTTTCTCTCTTGTGTTTATGACTTAAAAAGGGCGTGATGTATTTTCCTTGTTTTGCCAGGATAATCTTAACTAAACTAATTGTTTTTCATCTCTTAAACAGGTTGGAAGAAAAGTTTTGCCAGGATCATTTTTTACCTGTAAAAACGGGTGGAAAAAATAGGTTCTCTAGGTGAAATTATTTGGTGTTGTTTTCCACATGTTTCTCAGATGAACCTTTTTTTTTAAGGAACTTAGAAAGAACATCCTGGCAAATCCTTTTTTTTTCCACCTGTTAAGTCATTAACACATAAAACAATTCAGATTAGACTTAGAGAATGGATCACCAGAAGTTTCCTTTGTCACTTGTCGTATTAAAAAGAAAAACACGTGTCCAAACGTGTCTAACACCATTTGTGTAATAACTGTCTTTTTCCTCAGGGATCTCGAGCAGCTTCTGCCTTAACAGCAGCAACCCTCACCTCCGTAGGCGGGACCTCGTCGCGGAGAGGAAGCGACGAGACGGCTTTTACTATAGATGCAGAGACGTCTATACGAGAAATCAAGGTAATGCTGGAGAGATGTAGCTTTCTTCTAGCTACTAGATTTCCTCGTGGATTGTGGTTTTTATTGGTCATTATAGTCATAATGTGTATTATATGGGAAATTTACTTGGAGACGCATCTAGCGGTGTCTTTGCAGAGTGCAACCAACTGAACACCCATCTGCTCACTCCTCCTTTGCAAAGACTGCTGTGAGATGAGCCGCTGAGTGCAAAACCGTGGTAACGACGTTCGCCTCCATACCGTAATAACACAACTTTGGTAGCAACCGAAGTCAGACGGAGGCTGGTGGTAGCACGGTTTAACACTCTGCGGCTCAAGTTTCACAAGCGTGTCAGAAAACTACGGTGGCCTTGAGGTGATGTAAAAACATCTCTTGAGCCAGAGTTTAGTTTGTCCCGTCTGGGCTACTGTAGAAACACGGCGTACTCCCTGTGTAGATATAAACGGCTCATTGTTAGCTAACTAAAACACAGCAATTCCTAGTTTCAAGTGATTATACGCAACTGAAAACCTTTTTTATTCATATTATATTCCATTTATGATGATAGATCCCCAGAAATGCTACATACTGGCCCTGTAACAAATTAACGACATCATATGATGAGGATACCCACATTGAGAATTTCATTACAACATTTAGAGTTTTTGAGCCATTTTGATTGCAGAAACGTTTCTTCTGTCCAGAGTCAAACTTCAGAACCCATATGGTGTAATTACTTTACAAATTGAGTGGAGAAGAGGCCGAGTCACTTCTCCAACCAACTTCATTCAACCACAAGACATGAGGGGACACAAGCAACAAACTGGATCTAACTCTTGTACTCTGAGAGGTTATATGAGGAAAGCAGTAAATGTAGCAGACGGCCTGAAATGAATCTCCATGCCGTCGTGCTATTTTTCATTCTTTCTGCAAACACCGTGTTACTTTTGTCATCGTCCTGCCGCCAAACTGTCTGCACCGTCACCTTTTCTGATGTTGTCCCACTGTGCTTCTCTGCTCACTGCTGCTGCACTCTTCACCAGGAGATTCATGAACTGAAGGATCAGATTCAAGATGTGGAATCCAAGTACACGCAGAACCTAAAAGAAGTCAAGGTATATAAGCCTGAGAGAGACCCCCAGAGCTCTCAACTCCAGACTCACTGTTCACTAACTTCCTCTGGAGATTTCAGCCTCGTTACTACCACAGTGGGTCAAATAAATTGTTTTATAACAGTGGATCCAAGATCAATACACCAACAGACAGGCTTTTGAATTGAAACACTCCATTTAGTATATTAGAAACAATACTGCTGCTCCAGACTCGGCACAAATATTGACACACACATACATTAGTATAACTGCAGTAAGGGTTCTACGATCGATGGTTATCGGCTGACAATAGTTCTCAATAGTTTGATCGGTGGAGTCCATGAACAGCAAACAGAAAATTAGATTGAAATGGTTTCAATAATAATTTGCCTTTTTTCTCGCCTGCTCTTTAATTCACTCTGAGAGCGACAACGCTGGACACAGACTCACATCTGACAAGAAAACACACTGATAGCATTATTAACACTACAAAGGATATAGTATATAAATGCCTTACTTGCCACACTGTTGGTTTTCCTCCCCCTCTGCCTGCTGTTCTGCTGGAGTTTCAATTCCCCCAATTTTTACTTGTGACGTGTAAAACATTTCAAAATCCGCCCGTCCACTATATTTATTAGAAATAGCCTAGCATCACCACTGTTTGTGCTTGCTTTTTTAAAATAATGTACTTATTCCACATGTCGGTTGTGTCTAAAAAGAAGAGAGACGAGTAGACACACACAGGCACACATAGAGGAGCAGGATAGCTAGTTGAACGCCACAGAGAAATTGCTACAAATAGACTCGGTGATCAAACTGCAGTCCTTTTGTGAGGCTCAAAGGCCGAGCCTGTGTCTGGCATTATTTCTCATTTATTTCCCCCTGGACAGATGTTTTCTAACTTGTGTGTTAACTTGCAAACTGTTCAAGATGCGTCTGCACGTTGCATGTCTTTCTTCATTTTGGTGTGTGTGCGTTAGCCTGCACATAACATTTCCACTGACAACGTTTACACAGGCTTATACAGTTGTGCAACACAGATAGATGGTTGCATTGTCTGGATTTCTCTGCCAGCTGCATCCACCTGTTACACCAAACACAGTTTGCCCATCCTATTTGATAGTATCCCAAGCTGTTATGTTCCTATATTCTGATATTGTCTTTATGTGGTGACATTAGGATGCGTTAGTGGAAGTGGAGGAGAAGTACCGTAAGGCCATGGTGTCCAATGCCCAGCTGGATAACGAGAAGAACAACCTGATGTACCAGGTGGACACGCTCAAGGACTCGCTCATGGAGCTGGAGGAACTTCTGTCTGAGTCGCGCCGCGGATATGAGGAGAAAGTCAAGGTACCGCCGGCACACAGAGGCACAGACTTTAAAACAAGTGATATGTGGCTCACTTCTATAATTGTAGGAAACCCAAATGGCTTAAATCTGGTATCTGAAGGTTTTGAATCTGTTGCCGTTAATGTAAATCAATGCTTGGCAGGTCATGTCTCTCCTTCTTCAATGCCACTAAAGTGTGATTTAAAGTACAACCTGCTAGCACACTGGTTTCCACAACTTCTCAGCCGCCTTTACATGGACCCCTCCACTCTGCAGAGGCCGACCACATCTACATGTAGGGAACATGGCTTTAACGGTGTAAAGTGGGAGCCGAGAATTCTTGCAGTTTTTGAATTGATTCTCTGCCTTCCACAAATCCACTACAGTATAAATCTACATGCAGAGACTGGAATCTTCCAGCATCCTGAATTCAAATGACAGTTTGGTTAAATATGGAAAGATTGCAGATATTAAAGTCCTGTTTGTTAGTTTCCCACAACCCTTGAATGCATCATGTGTTTTGAACACTTTTCTGACATGAGGATAAATGATCAAGTGTAAGGTGGAGCTGAATGACTGAGCATACGGATGTTATTGTTCTGTAATGACACCAAAGTAGAGCTTGATCAAGTTTTAGTTTTCTCTTCATATTGTTAATCCAGCACACAGTTAATGCTTTGGTTTAACGCTACAACCAAAGAACTTACATTGATGAGAAGTGAAAGCTGATTGGTCGTTCCTTTGCACACTACCATATGATCTGTCCAGAGATGACACCAGTAAAACAACCTGATTGAAAAATAACAAAAAGAATGTTGCATACTATGATAACTATTTACCTACTTGTTTTTATTATTTGTTAAATTCATTGAAGAATCAAAGCAGAGTGTTCCAAATAGAAAGACATAACATAACTTTTTCACCACTTACCAAGGGAGCAAAACGTGAGCAATGGAAGCTAGAAAAATCCAACACTGAGGATTTATAGAAACCAGGCGAAGTTTTTGATGTCGAGGATCTCCAACATAGACGCTCAGTCGACCACAGACTCGGGTGTATTCAGCACAAAATGGCAGCAGCAGTAACGCAGCGCCCTCTAGGGGCGGTTGTAAAAAAAGCACCACAGTTTTGTCTCTGTGCTTCTATACTCTTTGTTACAACTACATCTAATGCAGTAAAACAGCATTGTATTTTACGTAAGGACATACATCATACTGTATGTGTTACATGTCTTTCAAATGAGGACTGTATGACACCGCTCTCAGAATGACATCACACTTGACAGCGATGCAAGTAGCATTCCTGTAATGTTTCCGGATGGGGTGTGTATGAGATGTTTCTAATGAAAGCAAACGGGGTTATTGGTTGTCAATATGTCTTTGGTTCCTCACAGGAACACGAGCGTGAGAAACATGCTCACACGGTGCTTCAGTTCCAGTTCACTGAAATGAAAGAGACGCTAAAACAAAGTGAAGAGCTGCTAAACGTGAGTATGTGTCCCCCAGTGTGAACGTGTGTCTCAAAGTGGGGTGCAGGAATGGAGCCTCCCATTGGTTCAAAAGACAGATATGAAGAAAGACAAACACGTTTGTCACCTAGAAGACTGCGCTCCACGGCTTTCTCTTTGTTCACACACTGTATACATGCATGCACTGTTTTTCTCTTTTGCTTTCTCTCTCTACGTCTCAAACTTGCTTTCCTTCTGCTGCTGTTTAGGACATCCGTCAGCTGCGTATCAAACAGGAAGGCTTTGTTAGAGAAATCTCTGACCTGCAGGAGACGGTGGAGTGGAAGGATAAAAAGATTGGGGTACGGCCTCTGAGCCCTGGTGCTGCACTTTTTATGTTTTATTGACTTCATCACATTCAGCATTTACTTTTGCCGACATGAATTCAGTATCTCCTTTGCATGAAACTGACCGGCAGCTTTTTACTTTCGCTTCTTTTCACCTCTCGTACACGTTTCTTCTCACTTTCCCTCACACTTGGGGCTCAGGCCCTAGAGCGACAGAAAGAATACACAGACGCTATTCGAGTTGAGCGAGACGAGCTCAGAGAAGAGACGGTGAAGCTGAAAGACATTCTGAAGGTACTCGGTGTGTGTGATGTGTGTAGTTTTGGGAAGAAAAGTGTGACATTAAAGTTTTGAATATTATTGTCACGGTAACTAAAGCTTTAAAGGTAAAACCGAGTCCTGCGTTATTGAAGATGGAAAGTAATTACAAGTGCAAATATAAATTGTACATTCACTTCGTTGTTTCAAACATTCCTAAACCTAATATACAGCTTTTCCATTGTGACTTATTTTGAAGGTGTGTACTCTATGGAGCTAATGTTTGCCTTTCTGTTTCTTCTAGAAACATGGAATAGTACTGGGTCCTGATCTGAACATCAATGGAGAGATTGGTGAGGCAGAAGTGGACGGGTCCCCCAGTGCAGACCCTGCTACCCAACCGGCTCAGGACTCACAGACCGCCCCAACGGAGGGGAACGGCATGCTCGGTAACACTTCTCACTACCTTAAACTGTCTGAAGACTTTCATTCCAAAAAGCATAAATACAGTAGTGGTGGAACCGAAAATTCAGCAACCAACATATAAAACAAGTATTTGTCCTCTCACAATTGATATCTGATCCGAATGGTTGATGTCTAACTTTGGAATGAACTCTTCAGTTCCCAGTGTTGTGCTCTTGGAATGTCAAGTGTCTTCAACTCTGATTTTCAGTTTCCTGAAAGGATAAGTCTGGTGATATTCTGTATTGTTCTTGAGGTTGGACACTTTCAATGACCAGAAAATCTCACCACAAGGTTAACTTTGTAGTTATTCTGGAGCTTTCAATCTCCAAAGCCAACGTCGACGAGAAGTCCTTTAAAAGTGCTCCCAAAATGGAAATTTCAACATCTACAATTCGATGGCAACTGGACAAACTATCTGCTGAGGAAGATTGAGTTACTGCTAAACTGCTAAGTGGACCTTGTGGTTTAGTCAACTATTCATTTCTATTGTAAACTAATTCCATGAAAATACAAAATTATAGAGTGAAATTGATCTCAAAATGTATATTACATCATCTACAAATGAAAAATAAGATTTACAAATGTATACAATGATTTGTGTGTAATTTTGGGTATTCACAAATGTGTGTTCCATTCTTCACACGAATGCAACCTGATTTGTACGTATCCCGCGATCCGTGCGCACACATTTAACATTCTGTAAATAAATACAAAAAAATGTCACAAATATTTTTAGAAGTTTGAAAGCTCAAGAAGTGTTTTGAAGGCAAAAATGTACATAAAAAATGTATTGAGGTTGTGATGTGTGTATGTGTAAATATGTTTTACACACGTTCAAATTGCTTGGTATTTGTGTGAAGTTTGGAACACGCATTTGTGAATAATCACAATTAAGCATAAATCGTTATATACAATTCTAAATCTTCCTTTTTATATTTGTAGATCATGTAATGTACATTGACTATTTTGAGATAAGTTTCACTGCATACAAAATCGACAACGAATTGATCCCACTAACAAGTATTGTGTGGCAGCCTGAGAGATATATACATTCATATATCTATATATATATATATATATATATATATCTTCCTCTGTGCCACATAGCTCCATTGTTGTCCAAAAACACATCTGTGAGCCACATTCATACACGCATGTAAATACTCACTATAGCACCAAATTCATATGAATGCACTGTTTATTCCTGTTGGAGTAACATCTGCTAAAAACTACAGTGATCAGCCGCTTTAGGAAATGACTGAAAATGACTGATCCTTTATAAAATACGATTATGCATTCATGACCAGTTTTTAGAATGTACATCTGTAGAAGGAACCAATGAGCTTGTGCTGCAGACAAGTTGGGAGAGCCAGACAGTAGTGAGTGACAAGACTACAGCATTAGTTATTTTTAGTACTTTCATCAAATTTGTTGACAAAAAGAAAAATACAGAGAAACACCAGCCTTATCCCTTTAACAAAGATCTATCCAACGTCTTGCTTTCCTGTTCAAACTAAGATTCCACTTACAAGCTCAGCATGCTCCTTGACCCCTGGGGTTCATCTTCGTCACCTTTTTCACCCCTAGTCTTCAGTATTAATGTTTTGGCTTTTCATTTGTTTCTCTTGCACCTTTTTCATCATTTCAGCTAACACATATTAGTTCTGAATCACAACTAACTCACACATGTTAATGCATGTGGTGTAGGTGTGTAAATACTGACCGGTCGACACAGGGTCGATGGTACAAAGCTTTTGAGAACTCTTTTAGAAGCAAATAGTCTCTGTGTAAGGAACATTATTGTAAATGCATTGTAACGTATATCTTTGAGCAGCCGGCTTCTTCTCTTGTCGATCGATGTGCTGGGAATCAAGAACATAATTTTGGTGTTCCTCCGGCCTTTCTTCTTCTTCTTCTTCTTCTTCTTGGCTCTGTGCTTCTCTTCCTGGCCACTGAATCAATCAGGTGTTCTGCCTTACCTTGACTTCTGCTGATGCACTTCCTGATGAAGATTACAGTTTTGAAAATCATGTCTTGAGTCAACACTTTTTGTCCCTCCATCACCGTGTACTCTTCATGATCTCTCAGGCAACACAGAGGAGACTCCGTTGAGAAGTAGCGGAGAGGAAGAGGTCGATCCAGAGCAGCATCGAGAAATGTTTGAGGAAGAAAAAGGGAATCGCGTGAGCTGTGATGCACTCTGTAATGTTGATGGTGTGTCCACGCTGGAAACATCGAGCGAAGAACAGCCAACAGAAGAACAGACGTGCTTAGATGAGGACAAGAAGACGGCCGCAGAAGAAGACAATGTTGAAGAAAGTGTTGTCAGCAAGGACTTAAATGTTGACATTATTGACCAATCAATCACAGAAGCCAAAGATATAATCATGTGCAGCCCTGAGCTTCAAGAGATTGTAACAAGTTCTGAGGAAAATGTTCCAGAAACCCAAGCGCCTAAAGGGGGAGATTTAGAGGAGACAAGTAACCCAGGTTTAGGGGAGACAGAAACCAAAAGCAGTAGTGTTGACACACAGAGTGATGACATTAGAGAGTCATGTAACAACCTATTTGAGGAGCAAGAAAACAAACAGGAAGATGAGGAAAGTAACTTGCAAAGTACAGAATCATGTCATCAGCAAAAAGTTGCACACAGTGTTATGACAGAAAGTTTGCCTAATGAGTCCGACCCAGCCGTGTCAAACACCGAACCTCAACAAGAGCCTAAGAATGCAGAAGAGGCAGAGAACGACGAGGCAGAGGAAATATCAGGTAAATGTCAGCCTCAGGGTGCCGCTGCTGCAGGGAAGAAGAAGAAAAGGAAGAGGAGAGGCAAAAAGAAAGGAACGCATGACGATAAGAACCAACAAAAAGATGGAGCTGACCAAGAAAAAGGCAAAAAAGAAATAAACGAATCAGCTACAAGAAATAATGGGCCAACGGCAGAACCTGAACTCGACGGTTCTGCCACTGAAACCCTCAAGAAGTCAAGGGTGGATCAAGAAGAGGGAGTAGAAGCAGCGAAACCCAGGGAAACCTTTTTAACCAATGAAACTCTGAAAGAATCGGCAGTGGAACTTGTTACAGAGGAGCACGACAACGAAGAAAAGTTGGAGACGGAGAACGTAGAAGAAGCGGAACCCGTGGCAACTCCCAAGGAAGAAAGGTCGGATCATGTTACGGATGAACAGAACAAGCGACTAAGTTCGCAAACTGAAACGGTAAAAGCAGTAGAGGCAGTGGCTCCCGCTGATACCTTTTCTCATGTTGAAACTCTCAACTCCAGAACAAATGCCAGAAAGGATGAGCAACACGAGGAACAAACTTTGGAAACTGAGAAAGTAGAGGAAGTGGGATCTATAACAAGTCCTGTTCCAGAGACCAACCTCAGCACTTCTGATCTTATCGACAACTCTAAAGGTGCGGAGAGCACTGATGGTCTCGACAGAGAGGGTTCTTCCAGTGTAGATAACTCTAAAAGTGAAACCGAGATCTCAAGCACTGACAATGTCATCCACATGGAGTCAGAAATTGTTGATGGTGTAGAGGATGAAGTTGGGTCTATTGATGAGATGCAATCTGAATGTACAACTACTAACCCCGAGAACACCTTTAAAACAAGCTGTAAGGAAAACACTGAAGAATCGCATGTTCCAAGCAATGGAGACATTGCTGCTGATGAGTCTGAATCCACAAGCAATCCTGAGAGTAAGGACAGCGCGTCTGTGTCCCAGTTCTTTATCGATGTCTTCACCAACGCTTTCAAGAGCTTGTCTGGCTCAGAGCCGTCCGCAGCCGTGAACTCGGGCAGCGGTGACGCTTCCATCGAGGTTTCTGGTGGAGGTCCAGAGGAAGCGACTGAGACAGTCAGCGATGACGAGGAGCCAGGAGCAAAGACTGAGCAGGAAGCCTTTCCTCCTGACGGGGAGGATTCTGAGCTCAAATCAGACGGAACTGAAAAGGAGGAGCTGAACGGAGGCTTGAGAGTCGCAGAGGGTTTAGTTGAGTCAGACCGCTCACATGATGAAAAAGGTGACCGTTGTGACAGTGCATCTTTAACAAAAACCACCGATGCATTTGACTCTGTGAAGAGTCTGGTGGAGACTGTTGGAGTAGCGCAGGCCGAACAACTGGGTAACGTACAAAGCCAGGATCCGACAGAGGAATCAAATGTCGGAGTGTCCTCTGAAACCGAAAACATCAATACCATTGACCTGTTGACAACACCGGACTCTCCAAAAGAAGCTACTGAAATTGGGTCCTCAACGGAGCAGGACCACAGAGCTGAAGAGTCAACCGTTGAAGAGGATCCAGAACATAAAAACAGTCAAAATGACCCACATGATCCAAGCGAGACAGAGCAACTGCATGAACCCGGCAAAGACAAGTCTGAGGATGATGATTTGTCTCAACCCACCCTGCAGGACAGCGAGGAAGAGGATGAAGGCCATTCTTTTGATTTCAATGACATGGACGTGGAGGAGGCTGTAGCGACAAGTCTCCTTGAAAACCGGAGCCAGGAAGAAGTGGGGGAGGGAGTTGAAGTCATGCCGGATGAAAGCAACAATGGTAGTTTGTCAAATGAGAGTAGACCAGACGAGCCAGTTGAAAGCACGGTTGACGGGGGTAACCAGGTAGAGTCACTGGATACTGCGCCTCCAGACAACCTCAACTCTGGTGAGGACGCCTCGTCTGAAAAGGGGGAACGGGTGGAAGATGTGTGTGAAAAGCAGAAAAACATTCCAGAGGAAGAAGTGGATGTGGCAGATGAGCCCGGGCACATTGCAGAGGAAGGAGAGCTTTTGAGTGTTGGAGAGGTGTGTGCTGTTGCAGAGGACATTGTCCAGGCGGCGTCTATGCCCGTGGAGGAAGGATTAGATGCCATTAAGCTTGAGCTACAGGGCGGAGATTCACCAAAGAGAGCAGAACAAGTGGCCAGCAGTAAAGAGCCACAGCAGACAGGGAAAGATGTGAAGAAGAATGGCAAGAAAGGCAAAGGCAAGGGCAAAGAGGAGTGTAAGATGTCTTAGCTTATAGCTAGTATATAGTATAGATATATATCATTTCATCTGGCTTTGCTTAGCTGTTTACAAAGTAGTAAAATACATTTGTGCCGCACTTTGATACTTTCCCAAATGAATATACGTTTGTATATGATTTTAATTGACTCCATGTAAACTGTCTGAAGGACAGCTGTCAGTATCACAACGTGAGCTGCTTGGTGACGGTAGATCTGACTATTGGACAATACTGCACTTGCTATGTCATGTAACATTATTTTGTCATTGATGCACATTCATCATGCTGCTTGTTATGCGTCATGGATGGATAATATTGTATCACATCATTTTCTCATGCTACAATTTCAGGATTGATTTATTCATTGCATAGGTGTTCAATAGAAACACACAGATGTTATTTGGTAATTCGTTAGTTAGTGAACTAGCTTTTACATGTTCCAGCGGTAATGTTGATGGTAAAAATGCGAAGTGCTTGGAGACCCTGATCTGTTCTCAGGGAGTAATACAACTGCTGTTTGAAAGTCATTTCCATCTACAAGAATGGGAAAATGTATGACACATGTATATTTGCATTTTGTTGCACTTAATGGAAAAGACGAATGTAGTGCGTCCTCGCCGATATGCCAATAAACACCCTGCTGTTACCAGTTTGAAATGTTGATCCAAATGCATTTTTTGTAGGGAAATTGATGGAACGCAATGTGTCGGCAGTCATTCAGTCAGCACATGTACACATAGATCTCCGGTTACACCTTACTGTGTGGTCACATAGTGAGAATGTAGTCAGCTGTGTGCTCTCGTATTGACCCTCCTCTCCACAGTTTGTGCATGCTAACAACCTACCCCCCACCCACACACACACTCCCGTTCCATCTATCCCCACGGAAGCCTGCGCTGTTGCATGCATCAACTCTCCCCCCCCACCGCTCCCACCATCTCCTTGGCTCCTCCCACCCCTGGTATGTGAACTTCTTTTTATTCAAAGATGGATGGCGGCAGTTGTGATAGTTGTTTGTGATGCACGACGCTCCATTTGAATTAATGATCTGTGACCGAGACGATGTCGAGTGTCTTCTCAAACGTGTGTTTTATCTCGTAGAGATTCGTCTGAGGAAACTGGTGGATGAGCGGGAAAAAATGATCGAGCAGGTGGGTCCGTGATTCATCTATTTACTAAGACCGGCATCTGTAGTCTCAGGAATATTACAATTTACATCAGGAGCTAATATTTAATACATTTCATGTCATAGCAGCGTGTTGCAAGGCCAAATTTCTGTATATGTCCCATTGCTATTAACATTGAGGAGCCACAGTGTCACAGCAACAGCACGGCTACCTAAATGCATGTACTGTAAACGCGTTACAAAGGAAAGGAGTTCTACCTACAGGTGCAGAAGTGACTGTAACGTGATGAAATGGAGAGAATCAGGGAAAGTGAGGAAAAAAGTAACTTTCTCATGAATTAATCAGGAACTTTCTCAGTTCCTGATTAAAAAATAAGACAAATGTGGTCAAATGAGATCACTTTTTCCTCTTCCGTCTATTTCTGACAGAACAAACAATGTTCAACGCAGTAAATGGTGCTCCTGTATACTTGGAGAAAAGCCTGTGTTTGAGTGGTATTTCATAAAGGCATTTGTAGTACGACACCTGTCAACAGAACTCTTATACGATATAAAGTATTTATAAAAACACCAGACTTTGCTTGACAACCATGTTTAAGTGAAGTTAATAGAGTTCAAGGCACAAATCATGCTTTATGATTAGAAATGACCAAGAAAACCAAAAGGAAATGTCAAACCTGATGGGAATACTACTTCTTTATACTTCTACATTTTAGTTATTGGGTTTAAATCCCATGAAAAGACCAAAACAAAGAGTTGACCCTACTAACAAGCAAGCTTGATAAATCATCTTCCTCTGTTGTCCAGAAGTTACTCAAACAATATTAATGAGTCACACTGTGTGTGACGTGTTCCTTCATCAACCAAGAATACACACTCTGTAGTTTATTTTCAATCGAATCCCACACACACCCTCCTGCTGCTCTAAATACTCACTAGTGCACCAATTGTGTATTGATCCACCGCTGAAAATAGTCCCCAACAAATGCACTAGTTCTTCTCGTTTGAGTTATGTTTGCTAAAACCCTACAGCGACCCACTGTTTCTGTTTCAGGAATGACTGAGCCTTTTTAAAAATGAAACTATATATTTGTGAGGGGTTTATAAATATGAATGCCTTCAGTAGCAGCAGGGTTGGGGTATTTTCATTAGATTTGTTGACAATATTCCTTCATCAGCTGATGTGTTAATGGCTGTTTGCAGGTAAAGAAGCTGAAGTCCCAGCTGGATCCGAAGACACAGAGGAACGGCACTGAGAGCACTTCGAGCCCAGATGGTGAAATTGTTGAAAACGGCAACGATCCGAACTTGATAGAGCTGCAGAGTGAGTGAACAGATCAGTAGTTGCACTTTACCATTTCATTGTCGCCGACAACTGAAGAATATTTGCTTTTGCTAAATCTTCCCAGGGGATTCAAGCAGGCAAATAAGTGACTTTAAGTTCAAGCTTGTGAAGGCAGAGCAAGAAGTGACCGCTTTGGAACAAAATGTAAGCTGACAAGAATCCTGAATTCATAGCGTACCTAAAAAAAAAAAAAACAGTAAATATTCTCACCTAAGAAGTCTTTTTTTTTTTTTTTCTTTTGGTTTCCAGGTGACCAGACTTGAGGGTCAGGTGACGCGCTACAAGTCTGCATCAGAGAACGCAGAGAAAGTGGAGGATGAGCTGAAGGCAGAGAAACGTAAACTACAGAGAGAGGTAGAGTTCTGTTTTCTTACACTGCAAAACAAATGACGAGCCGGACCGTTGAACAGGCTCTGTTTTAATCTGTTCTCTCTCTCCCCGTGTGACCCAACAGCTGCGATCAGCACTGGACAAGGTCGATGAACTAGAGTCAAACAACAGCCACCTCTCTAAAAGACTGGAGAAGATGAAGTCCAGTCGCGGCATGGCTCAGACTCCATAGAAACTGGCTCATCTCCTGGAAAAGAGTCCTCTCGCATCTCTTCCATCTGCCTGATAGCAACCGCATGAAAAATAATCAAAAAAAAATAATCTAAAATCTTAGTTATCATATCCACAGAATAGAGAACAACAACAAGCAATGTGCCATGTCTTTGTCTGTTTTCTGTCCGATGAAAAGTCTCCGTAGCATTCAATGCACACACACCCAGAACGTACACGAGCGGGTCTTTGTGGTTGACCCTCTGCACTGCTCTGCTGAAAGGGGGAACGGGCCACGCGGAGAGTCCCGGGACGGAGCGCCACTCTCTGTTGTCGAAGACGAAGAATGCTGCACTGCACCCTGTTTTCTGCTGCCTTCATCGAGATTCAAGATACTGACTTGTCTTGCTCACATGGAGGACAGATGAATGAATAAAAGACGGATCACAGTGCAGGGAACAGTACTCCACCGTGTCCGTGACCCGAGACTGTGATGTTCAGTGTGGAGAACACAATGAGTGCTTTGTGTGTGTCGTGAATGAAAAGGCAAAATGAAGTATATTTTCCTCATTTGCATTCAAAGCCAAACTATTTTTAAAGGTGTCCATGTTTGTGGTAAAACTGAAGAAAAAGGATTACCCCCCCCCCCAAAAAAAAAACCACAATATCACATAATGTAAACAGTCCAGAAGTCACCAATGGTAGGTCCTTAGTGTGTGCCCGCCCCTCTGCTAAGACACAAGCTTCTCTCTGCTTCCTGTATCGCTCACTGGTCAGCTCTTAGGGACACACTGACCCGCTGAGACTCATTGAAGGAATGTGACGATGGGGGACTCAGAGCGAACACACTGGGGAGGAGCTGCTTCACTGTTTACAAAGCTTCAAACTTTGTAAGGGAACTTCAACAACTGTAATCTTTGTGCAATAAAAGCTCCAAACATATTGGTATGTGCACGCGAGCATTTTAGTCCCAGACTTCTAAATGTTTCCTTACTAACGTTGTTCCCCGTAAACCGAGCTTTATTCTGCCAATGGTTCCTTGGGTTTCCTACATGTTGTCATTCTTCACCTCTTGACAGCAGTTTGGAACAAGTGAGGCAGTAGAGCTTCAGCTTGTGTGTCTGAGGTTTCTAATTTCTTTATACATTCAGTAAAGTACAGAAGCTTATTGCTGCCACTGTGACGGAAAAGTCTGAAATTACAGCGTAAAAATAGTTTTAATGAGCCTTTTCATGTTGTAAGATACTTTACATGTTATAAAATATAAGAAACAAATATCCGCTTTTACAGGAGACTTGTAACATGATGCACTTTAAGTTTGCTGTAATTTTATGTATGCACATTCATGTTACAACAAAGTTTATTGCAAAAATGAACTGATTAACTATATAATAACAAAATGGTATATTATGAAAAGCATCTAGTTATAACATGAAAAAGATTATTCATTAAAACAAACTAACGCTTCAACTAAAGGGAGCAAATGTGTTTCTGTGATGGCTGCAATGTGCTGCTGTAGTTTTGCAGTAATTCAAGAAAAATCTTAAAATCCAAAGAATTCAAGACAACGCCGCAATCTTCTCTTCAAATTTGTGTTTACAATCTACAATGTTTACTCCCAATAGATTAAAATGCTTTATAATGGTCTAATATATTTTAAAGATTTGAATAACTCTTAAAGTAACACGACCGATTAACTAGATGGAGAAACTCCTCCCTGATGAAGGTGACATCGGCACAAAAAATGTGTAATAAAGCAGTAGTTATGCAGCGTGGTCTGCAGCACACTGTATGTATTAGATTCTGAAACAATACATACAATGTTAAAGAATAGTTCAAGATACATATTTGAAGGTGAAGTGCAGACATGCTCTAAGAGAAACAGGAGTGCTGTTGTAGCTGGAACACTAGCTGTTCTTGAAGAAACAGAGGGACTCTTGAAATATCATTTTTAACAGTTTGACTTTTGCTAATGCATTAAAAAAGGCTTTGGTGTTAACGGGGTGCTACATTATTTTCATCTTTATGCTATGTGTTGGCCACAAATAATTGTTATAGTTTTCAGCAAAGTGCTTCCCTGTAAATTTCGCAGCAAGAAACCACCATATAGTTGCTTTTGAGACATTAAAGGGGAACACCAACTAAATGACCAAGTCCAATATGTTATTTCCATGGCCTAAGAAAGTCCAATCAATACTTGTGAACATGAGCTGCTCTCTCTGAAACCAGAGAAAGGAAGTCTCTAACTTGTGATGTCATCAAGTAGTAAGTGTGGAGGCTGCTCAATAGACAATGAATGGGATGATTCTGTGAAACCATAGAAAGTTTTATTACTTTTTATACCCAAAAGAGCTTCATTCTATCGTAGTGTTGTGAAACAGAAAATGTACCTTTATACCCGGAACATTCTCCTGGGTGCTCAGTGTCATCTAGAACATCTCTACCAATTTGTCGTCAATGGAGCAGCACACTTTATACCACATAGTTTAGGAATAACATGTATGAATTCTGAAAATGGTTTACCTCTTTCCTGGAAATTAGCCCCATACAGGCGGCAACCTCCGGTTCTGACGAGTGAAGACCATGAGGAAGTTTCTTAAAACGTGCATTCTCTCTAGTGTCCACCAGGGGGTGACTCCTCTGGTTGTATAGAAGTCTATGAGAAAATGACTACTTCTCTTTTGATTTATTACCTCAGTAAACATTGTAAACATGAGTTTATGGTCTCAATCTCTAGTTTCAAGTCTTCTTCAATACAGCATGATGTTCATTTGGTAAATTATGGTCCATTTAGAGTAAAATAGACCATAAAGCAGGGTATGCTTTAGGGCGGGGCTTACTGTGATACCAGAGACCTTTACGGCGTCTCTACGTCATTCCATATAAGGTCACTTCTGTTCATTGGTTGCAAAAAAGCCAAGATGGCGGCAGCCAAATCGCTAAACTCGAGGCTTCAAGACAGCATTCAACAAACCAACGGATGACGTCATGGTGACTATGGCCTCATGTTGATATTTTGTTCATCCAAACGTCCACATGCTCTGTTAAAATCACATTCAACTTCCAACCCTCATCCAGGTTTGGTGAACTGGCTGCTGGATAACGTTCCGTCCCGTGTAGTTGTGCTCGACTGGCCGTCACAGTACGTCCGCTTCTGGATGCGTTGGACCATTCGGCGCCCGTAAAAGTCCCGATAATCGTCCGGGAGCTCGTCCAGAGTGCGTAGCGCCCTCTCCAGCGCCTGAAGGGCCCGGGTCGCGGCTGCGGGGTCTTTGTTACCATACGGGTCCTTCCGGTCATAGCTGTCGGCAGGTAGATGGCGCCAGAACACATTTACGCCCACACCGAACTGCAGGGCCAGGGTGTTGTGGAACCACAGCGCTGAGGAAAGCAGGGACACCCTGATTATTTCAAGTCCTTCAAATATGAGAAGCCAAGTTACTGTAGTGTGCGGTGTGTTTCCAATACGAAGCGTCCACCGGGATTTGTGAGTCACAAGAGTTTGGTGTGAGAGTTACATGAGAAGCATGACAGTATGATGTCATATATCTAGTAGGTGCCATTGCAGGAGGACTCGCTTAATGTGGACAGTTTTACTTACCAGGGATAAAAAGTAGATCCCCTGGCTCCAGCACACACTCGTATCTCTTTGCCTTCACAAACTCAGGAAACTGATTCAGGTCCGGGGAGTCGATGTCCAGCACCTCCGATTTATCACCTGATGGGTTGAATTAAAATGAAAAGAGGCACTATAATATTATAAACCATAACACACCCATTCCTAGTGGGGTTGATACAGCATATTTTGAGCAATCAAACAAACTGGCATCTTCGCACAGCCACTTGCCTGACAGGTAGAGGTGCAATGCATCCTGGGGGCTGTAGAGAGCCACTCTCTTCCTCCCCGTCACCTGAGCCAGCAGGTTGTCCATCACCTGAAGGAATGAACCGCAAAGACCAGAAGAGGGAGAGTTTACTGAGGCTACCCACTTAGAAACTCAACATTATTTCCTGTGAGAGATAAATTAAAGTATTGAATTAGCACTTGTGTGTATATATATACAGTTGTGTGAAAAAGTGTTTTCCCCCTTCCTGATTTCTTATTTTTTTGCATGTTTGTCACACTTAAATGTTTCAGAACATCAAACAAATTTAAATATTAGACAAAGATAACAAGTAAACACAAAATGCAGTTTTTAAATGAAGGTTTTTATTATTAAAGGGGAAAGAAAATCCAAACCTACATGGCCCTGTGTGAAAAAGTGATTGCCCCCCCCCTGTTAAAACATAAATTAACTGTGGTTTATCACATCTTTGGAAAGCTGAGTTCAATTTCTCTAGTCACACCCAGGCCTGATTACTGCCACACCTGTTCTCAATCAAGAAATCACTTAAATAGGACCTGCCTGACCAAGTGAGGTAGACCAAAAGATCCTCAAAAGCTAGACATCATGCTGCGATCCAAAGAAATTCAGGAACAAATGAGAAACAAAGTAATTGAGATCTATCAGTCTGGAAAAGGTTACAAAGCCATTTCTAAAGCTTTGGGACTCCAGCGAACCCCAGTGAGAGCCATTATCCACAAATGGCGAAAACATGGAACAGTGGTGAACCTTCCCAGGAGTGGCTGGCCAACCAAAATTACCCCAAGAGCGCAGCGACGACTCATCCAAGAGGTCACAAAAGACCCCAGAACAACATCCAAAGAACTGCAGGCCTCACTTGCCTCAATTAAGGTCAGTGTTCATGACTCCACCATAAGAAAGAGACTGGGCAAAAATGGCCTGCATGGCAGAGTTCCAAGACGAAAACCACTGCTGAGCAAAAAGAACATAAAGGCTCGTCTCAGTTTTGCCAGAAAACATCTTGATGATCCCCAAGACTTTTGGGAAAATACTCTGTGGACTGACGAGACAAAAGTTGAACTTTTTGGAAGGTGTATGTCCCATTACATCTGGCGTAAAAGTAACACGGCATTTCAGAAAAGGAACATCATACCAACAGTAAAATATGGTGGTGGTAGTGTGATGGTCTGGGGCTGTTTTGCTGCTTCAGGACCTGGAAGACTTGCTGTGGTAAATGGAACCATGAATTCTGCTGTCTACCAAAAAATCCTGAAGGAGAATGTCCGGCCATCTGTTCGTGACCTCAAGCTGAAGCGCACTTGGGTTCTGCAGCAGGACAATGATCCAAAACACACCAGCAAGTCCACCTCTGAATGGCTTAAGAAAAACAAAATGAAGACTTTGGAGTGGCCTAGTCAAAGTCCCGACCTGAATCCGATTGAGATGCTGTGGCATGACCTTAAAAAGGCGGTTCATGCTCGAAAACCCTCCAATGTGGCTGAATTACAACAATTCTGCAAAGATGAGCGGGCCAAAATTCCTCTACAGCGCTGTAAAAGACTCATTGCCAGTTATCGCAAACACTTGATTGCAGTTGTTGCTGCTAAGGGTGGCCCAACCAGTTATTAGGTTTAGGGGGCAATCACTTTTTCACACAGGGCCATGTAGGTTTGGATTTTTTTTCCCCTTAATAATAAAAACCTTCATTTAAAAACTGCATTTTGTGTTTACTTGTGTTATCTTTGTCTAATATTTAAATTTGTTTGATGATCTGAAACATTTAAGTGTGACAAACATGCAAAAAAATAAGAAATCAGGAAGGGGGCAAACTCTTTTTTACACAACTGTATATGCCAATAAGGACAGCACATCCAAATTGCATCTTCATGACATCGTAGTCCACCGTAGGACTTGGAAAAAAATAAAGTATAACTAAATGCAGGGCGCTCACGTCGTAGTGCGTCCACAGCTGCAGACCACAGGAGCTGATGCGGAACACACTGGAGAAAAACTGATTGGGTTCAAAGAACTGTGGGATGTGAAAGTCCTCCGCCATGTCCGGGAACTGTTTGCTCAGATCAGCAGGTTCCTGAGAGAAAGACATTTATATTCCTGGTCAAGAGCTTTCGCCGAGTTGGACTGAAGACGGTTTTTGGTTGTTTTTTTGCCATAAATACAATGTTAGTTGATGCACAATCTGAAAGGTACAAAACCTAACCTAGCTCTATCTTCACATATTTCATAGATCTTCTTAATACCTTTCGAACGTCCTCTCCCAGTGATCGAAGATAATAGCTCTCGTCCTAACATAAGATCAAGGAAAGAGTGGCATTAAAAGACACTCACAACATACTGTACATTTATTTATTTATATTTTTATATATATTATGATCCTTACCTCACACAGGAAGAAGTCGGAGTGCTTTTTTTCAGATGCCCTTTTCACAAACTCATTGAATGGCAGAGTCCTGTAAATAAAGATGTGTAGCTGAGAACTCTGCAGAGAAGGAGTATTGATCAGAGAGAGAGAGAGAGACAGAGACAGAGAAAGAGAGACAGAGAGAAAGAGAGTGCGCTCACTTGTACGCAAAGTTTTTGTGCAGGAAGTCCATCTGCGGCACAGTGGACACGTGGATCTTCACTTCCTTGTCTCCCCCTCTCTGTCCCAGATACTCCACCGTCCACTTCTCCAGGCATGGTCCGAGACACGTGCCTCTCAGGACGGCTGGTCTGCGCTGGGAACAAATCGGCGTACATTTAGCTGTAGATGCACATCTGTACACTCTGTCTGATGGCAAATAAATGTACTCCAGGATCCAATATCTTACATAACATTATATATAACATAAAGGGCCACTCCAACAATTCTACACATGAAGATAACTTTACTTGTCGTGGGGAGTACTCGTGCTCAGGCTGTCATTACAGTTGTATAATGCCCTCTGTGGAAAATAACCCTGATGATGTCATCAGACATTTGGTTTTAAACTGAGGTCATAAGAATTTGAAAGATGTGGATGTTTACCAGGCTGGAAGGGTCTAATGAACAGGTGCCAACGCAAAACTACTTAAGTCAGGACATCTCAACGTTACATCAATACCATTCTTTATTTAACGTGTCTTTTTATGAGCGTGCAACTCCAAAAAACTAGAGTAGCTTTAAGACCCTGAACAAAGTGTCAGATAGTGGATTCTGCATGACAATAAATATTTCTCTGAAATGAAACTGTTTTTCCAGTGTTTCTGAACAGTTCATGTACACATTGGAGAGCAGCGGGGAGCATTACGAGGCAAATCTCTAACTTGAGATTGTCTTAAGGCTGCAGCTCATGATTATTGTCATTATGGATGAATCACTTCATCAATGTATCAAAAACACTTTAGTCTGTCACAGAGTGGTGAGAAATGCCCATCACAGTTCCCCAGAGCTGAAAGTGCCATCTTCATCTCAGATTGGTAGTTTTATCTAACCAACGGGCTGAACCCTAAAGGTATTCAGTTAATAGTGATCTAAACACAGACAAGCAGTGTGTTTGCTCAGTAAATGACTGCAATGATTCATGAATTTGTAAGTGATTGATTTTCTATGAACTAACCTGTCATTAGCTAATTCTTGTCAACATCACCAGTAGACATAATCTGAGACATTGTCTTGTGTACCAGGATAAGCAAAACCTGACAATGTAAGCTGAAACAAACAAGTCTAAGAAGCAGCAGCAGTCAGGTAAGGTTACAGCAGGAGAGTGTCGTTAAGCCGTGTGGACCAACACTAGCTGCGCGGGTGTATCTTACCTCGGGATAAATATCTCGCAGAAACACGTCCTTATCTACTTCTGTAAATATTGGCACAGGTACTTTTTCCTGCAGCTCCATTTCACATGATTTGCTTTAGAAATGCACGAGCTGGTGAGAGTAAACAGCTCGTGAACTGAACGGGCGTCACATTGTTAGTGTTCCCCGTCGAAACGAAAAATGACGAAGTAAAAGTCAGCTGTATAAAACAACAGTACGGTATGTTAGTTACAAAACAATGTCCATGGTTGGTAGATACACAAATTAATTATATTCCCAGAATGTTATTGCATTACTGTCTGTATTTTTAATATTTGTTATTTGTTCCTCACCGGAAGTTACAAGCACAAGAACCAGGAAGCTTCCGAGGGGGGAAAAAAATATGGCGCTGCCCATGTTGAGAGGTTGTCACAGGTTTCCATCAACATTAAGCTTTACTCGTCTATGTGTAAATGAAAGTATCATCCTGAACCGGTCCGGTAAGCGGCGGCTACCTTCTCCATCACCTGCTGCTGTGGTAGCAGCGGTCCGCCAGTACAGCTCCGACCGCGGCGGACAGAACCAGAACCAGAAGGTGGTGGTTGTCGGCATCCCGAATCCTTTTATCTGGTTTCGCACCCGAATATACTGCTTTCTGATCCGGGCTTACTTTGATAAAGAGTTCAGCATTGAAGAGTTCACGGAGGGAGCGAAGCAGGTCTGTAAAAACCTGAAAATATATGGTGTTAACGTGTTGTGAGCTAGCTACAACTGCTCTGAACGCTATAGTATTCATTGAACGTGATTTATTATATTCATATCCTCAATTAATACCTCGTTAATTCTGTTCTGTTGTTGTTGAGGACATTCTGTTAACTCTTGCAGGCCTTCTCCCATGTCTCCAGACTGTTGTCACAGTGTCAGTATAAAGCTTTGGAGGGGCTCGTGGCTAAAGACGTAAGTATGGGAAGCCAGCAAGTCCAAACTTATTATTCATTCTCTAACTTAAAAAAAAAAATATATATATATATATATATATCAACATATCAATACATTGTAGAGACACATATTTCAGTTGATCATATTGGAAAATCTTAATTTTAACGTATTGCTACCAAACATAACAGAACAGACTTTTTGGTATGTTAATCTTGTATATAACGGGTGTGATCTCGCTGCTCAAGTTGAGCTTTATCTAATTTCCATGTCTTTGCAGTTGATTGCAAAGCTGGAGGAAAAGTGCAACGCGCTGCCATCGAGCCACAAGAAAGCTCTGTCTGCAGACGCTGATGAGATCATGTATACGACACCTGGAGATGTGGGGATCCACTATGATGATAATGGTCAGCATGAAGTCTTTACCTCCCATGAAAAGACACAAACCAATGAATTGATCCGACTACCAAATACTGAAATAGTGTGTATCAGAGCCTGATATATATCGTCTTCCTCTGTAATATAGAGCTCCATTGTTGTCCAAAACTATTAAAAACACACCAATGAGCCACACTGTTTCACTGGGTGACATGTTCCGTCATTACCCGGAATACACACACTGTGGTTTATTCTGACTCAATCCCAAATGCACCCTCCTGCTGCTGTAAATATTCACCAGAGTACCATGGGGATTAATCCACAGCTGAAATTAGTCCCCAACAAATGCATTATTTACTCCTCTTTGAAATAACCTTTGTTAAATATTATAGTGCCCAGATGTTTTGGTAAATTGCTGAGGCTTTTTTTTCAGTAGGAACCAATGGCCCTTCCCAAAAATAAATAAATAAATAAAACAACTTTACTGGGAAAGAATGAGGGAAACAACAGAGGAGGGATCCCTCCTGCAGGACGGAACGGACAGACATGCAATGGATGTTGTGTGTTTTTTGTGCTGTGCTAATCAGTTCTGTTTTTCCAGGGAGAAAGTTTGTCAGTATTCTGATGCGTTTCTGGTATCTGACAAGTGCACATCTTCCTAACGACACCATGGAGGGAACCCGTGTCTTCCAGGTGGACATCGGTGGAGAGGGAGAAGCAGAAACGAAGAGGCTCCTAACTGCAAACTATGAGTAAGCATATCATTTCTGTCAGGAGTGTAATGACTCGGGCATATAGAATGTAACTAAGCTCTGTGTGTATTAGAGTATTAGTGCTGATCTTTCTTGTCTTTTCTGACAGATTCCAAAGGGAGTTCACTAAGGGAGTGCCTCCAGACTGGACCATTACGAGGATAGAGCACTCCAAGCTTTTGGATTAAGGTAGTTTTGATTTGTGGCAGTTGTGCCACTGGAAACGAATCAAAGACATGAAATCGCCCTCAGTATTTGCTTTCATTAAATCGAGTAAAACAAAGCAGCTCAAGGTAATCCACAGAGGGAAAACATGTCTCATCGCCTCACTGGGAGGTCAGAGGAAAGCACCAGCACAAACTTGGATTCACTCACTATTCACTGTAGAAAAGACACATGAGCCGACTCATCTATATCATAGAGACTGCAGAGATCTGTGTGCAGTTAACAGTGTTATACCTCAAAACAGTGATCAGAACTAGGCTACAGCAGGTTTGTGATCTCTTGAACTTCTTATTTGAACTAAAACTATTGTGTTTATATGTAGGGCTGTGTGGTATAACGGTGTTACAATTCAATCTGCCAGATTTGTCTCCACACAAAAACATGTCTTTCTTTTTTTTTTTAATCTTTTTTTTTTTTTACCCCACACAACCTGTTGCAGTAACCCGACTCTGAAGTACATGCTATATATGTACCGTCTTTGCAATGATTAAGGCAGCTCGATGCAGCTGCAGCAGACCCTTGATTGTTTTATTAAAGATTTGAGAAATGAAAAATGTGCACAGTTATTTTTTTAATTCCTAATTCTTTTTTATCTATTCTAACAATTGAAATAAGGAAATGTGTGCTAAAACATATAAACATTAATGAAGAATACGTTAAGGGCATTTAAAAATTAAATACAAAATCAATGAAATGAAAAATAGCATGGAAGAAAACCAGAGAAGAAAACACGTCAAGCTTCTAATGTGTCACTCGCTATCTGCTCTCCCATTGGTGTATTTTCTCAAGTGCTCTCCTCCCATTGGCCGAAAACCGTGCCAATCACTACCGTTCGTGTACTATGTGGTTCCTGTTGGGCGGGTTGAGCCGGTGAGGACGACAGCCCGTGTGGTGTCTTACTACTGCGAGGAGTCGCAGAATGAGAACGAACACATAGAGTTGAACACCTGTGATATCTAAAAACCCAGAGTCAGAGTTGAACCATGAAACTCGGCACTGTGGCCTTTTACGGGTTTGCTCTGGGGCTTCTAGCGGTTGGCCTGCGAGAGTTGCTGACTGGCTTCGAGGAGAACAGATGCAGCATGACCTATATGTTTGAATACCCGGAGTACCGGGTGAGTAGCCCGGCTCATTATTCCACTTAACGCCTCATAACATACGTCAACCACAAACTAGCTAGTTACGTTGTAGCGCGCTTTCGAGCATAAATGCTAAAACAAAAACAAAGCTCCAGCATCTTGCTAACGTTAAATGGCTCGTTCACTTCAACACCGCGAACAGAAAGTGTTTCAGGCTGAACAGATAATATCACTCATCCCTGTCGAGCGTCTTTTAAGCTGACTAGTTATTTCCTGAATCCTGCTAACGTTAGCCGACAGCTGGTACCGGTGGGTGTCGGGTTGTGTTGTTGCCTCTCAGCTCATGTATTTCCTCAATGGCTTCTTCACACACCTGTCTGGTTGGCGGTGTGTGTGTGTGTGTGTGTGTGTGTGTGTGTGTGTGTGTGTGTGTGCTTGCGTGCTTGCGTGCGTGCGTTTGTTCAGTACTCGGATAACTGCTGATCCTTGAGTCCCCTCAGCTGATGAGCAGGTTTCTTTAAAGACACGGACAGCTGAAGTTAACGTTAGCTTACATTAGTCATGCGATGTCGGTCGCCCTCCTCTGCTTTATGCTAACTAATGTGTTCATCTGGCCAGAAGTGGAGCACAGCTGCGGGCGATGCACAATATGGGCATCGACCTTACTTCACACATGAGTCTATGCTTTGTTTTGTTTTGTTAGGGAGAATATAAAGACCAGAAACATATCTTTATCTTAGTGCATGTGGTTAAAGGACATGGGCTCTTGAATCAGGGCTACCTCAATGCTAGCAGAGCCTGTGATGAAGACACAGGGCAGATGAGAAAATCCATAATTATTCAGTAAATGTTCCTGAAGTCTGAGGTGAAAGCCAAAGATTTGATGTTGCTGACATATCAGTGTGACAAACCATGGTTTGAAATCAGTTATTGTGGTTATTGTAATATTGTCTGGTCTGCTTTTAATATGTCCATCATACTTTCACACGCCCCAAGTTGACGTCCAACACCTCAAAATACTCATTTTGCAGTAATAAATACTGGATAAAAGCAGTAAGCACTCTCATCCAGAAAAATATTTTTTGGGCAATTTGGCTTTCAAAAATATTTAAATGATTTGTAAATAATCGAAATTGCTGCACATTAATTTTCTCCTAATCGACCGCTAGATTAACGAACTAATCGTTTCAGCCATAACCAATATGGCCCAGCCCCAGATTTAGTCCTCACATGTACCGAACAATGTACTGTAACAAAGTCCGGACACCTCTAGTACATACAAGGGGTCAAGTATACCATGAATGTAACTTCTCATTATATCTCACATGAAGCCAGAATTAAGCGCAGGTTTTTAGAATATTGCAGGTGAGGTGCACAGCGAGGGAGGGAGGTGTTGTCACCCAGCTGGAGAGTAAGATGAACAAACTGCTGTAGTGTCACCTGATGCCTTTACAAGTGTGACACAAAGGTTTAATGAACTGTCTGAAGAATGATGTGGCCGTGGGACTTCACCTCCTAACCCGGTGTCTGTGTTGGGTGTTGGCTTCACAGCGTGTGGCTCTGCCTCGCCGGGTGGCCAGACTGTACCCAGCGTACGGCCTCTACCTCTATGGGGAGGGTCTGTACGCCCAGGAGACCCGCGCTCTCAAACTCACCGGGGCCCCTGTGCTCTTCCTGCCTGGAAACGCAGGCAGCCACAAACAAGGTAAGTGCATGCTGATAGTTTAGGTTTAAGCAACGGGAGCAAACAAGGCAAGTGGTAGTTGTGCGTTTCAGCTTTGGACAGCAACGGCATAAGAGGGTGGAGGTGGATTTTTATTCAACAAGTGGATGTGCTGAGGTTGTTTGAGGATGTGTGGCTTCATGCTTTTTGTGGATTAGTCTCGACCTGACCTGATCTACCTGCAGGCAGACTGGATTGTCCTGCACAATTTTTCACACAAGCTTTCAGTTTTTTTAAGGCAGTGGATGTGAGAGCTTTACCTTATCACAGAAATCAAGTTAGTTTTGTGTACGCTGTGCTGGACTTCACATTAAACGTTTTTTTTTTGTGATACGGTTCTTGTGTCATTTTTAAGGACATGTACACCCAGAGCTAGATACTTAATTATTCCAATTGTACTTGTCAATTAAAGGATGAGGTTGGTGACAATATTACTATTAACCTATTAAAACTCAGGCAGCAACCTCGGGTTCTGAAAAGTGAAGACCATGAGGAAGTTTCTTAAAACGTGCATTCTCTCTACTGACCACCAGGGGGTGACTCCTCTGGTTGTATAGAAGTTTATGAGAAAATCACTCTACTTCTCTCTTGATTTATTACCTCAGTAAACATTGTAAACATGAGTTTATGGTCTCAATCTCTAGTTTCAAGTCTTCTTCAATACAGCATGATGTTCATTTCGTAAATTATGGTCCATTTAGAGTCAAACAGACCATAAAGCAGGATATAATGTAGGGCGGGGCTACCTTGTGATTGACAGGTCACTACCGCTGCCAGATCCGTAAACAGCGTCTCTACGTCACTCCTCCACAGTCCTAATATGGTCACTTCCGTTCACTGGTTGCAAAAATTCAAGATAGTGACGGCCAAAACGCAGACCGTGGTTCTTCAAAAGCTCAGTCCACAAACCAATCCACTTCTTCTATACAGTCTGGTAAAGCCACATCAGTGAGCCGCACTGTTGCACCGGGTGATGTGCATGTATCCAAAGCCTGATATATCTTCCTCCTCTGTGCCATTGAGCCCCATAGTTGCCCAAAAACTATTAAAAGCACATCAATGAGCCACTCTGTAGTTTATTTTGAGTAAATCTCACATGCACCGTCCTGCTGCCATAAACACTCAGTAAAGCACCACATTTGTGTTAATCCTCTGCTGAAAGTAGTCTCTGTAGAAACACAATTGACTCCTGTTCATGTAACGTTTGCTAAAAACTACAGAGCTCAGTTGTTTCAGAAAATGACACAGCCTTTTAAAAACAATCTTATTTGTGATCCATTATGCCCTCAGTAGGAACATGTGTGCTTGGGTCTGAGTGCCACAGACGTACAGTAACACATTGTATTCTATATTATAGTTCCAGTTCAATTGCATATGTAAATACTTGGGGAATTAAACCTGGACCCTTTTGTTGATATAGACTGTACTCGTACTCATAACTCAGTAAAGCTCTAAGTGATACAAATCCTTTCTAAGATGCTGCCGCCCCCCCGTTCTATCTATCAGTTGTGTGTAGGAGGAGAACACCCGCGCCTTCCTTCATGTGAATACAAACCCATCGTGCTGTTACACTGTGGTGTTTGTGATGGTGGTCCAAGCTCTCTGTTCTTCAGCTGTTTCTTGGCTCACGTTAAAACTCCTCCATCCGATGTATTTTTAACAGCTGGTGTTCGACAGGCTTCCCAAGTTACAACAGCTCGATGAGGTACCAGTGTCCAATCAGAGCAGGTGGTTTTAAGGCTCTTCCCTACAGGAAAATGGTGCCGACTCTGTAAATTGAATGAGCTTTTTTATCTTAGCATTAAGGAGAGAGTTTTCTTTTTAGGCCACCAACAGTCGCCCCGAGGATCCAAAGAAGCTCAAGACGTGATGACTCTAATCAATAATTCAAAATAGTTACAAAAATAATTAGCATATAAGAGCTATATATAAATACTTTTTAAAATAATAATATATAAATAATTAGTGCAGCATCAATGCTGAGCATATGTGGTGGGGATTATAGTGGGCCCAGCTTTGACCCTCACATGTGTAAGATGTTATTAAACATTTTGTGCTCGATGCTGTCTGTAGAAAACACACGCCATCAAAATGTCTTCTTCTCCTCACCCAGCTCGCTCCCTGGGCTCGGTGGCCTTGAGGAAGGCCGAGAACATGGAGGGCGGTCTCCACTTCAACGTGTTCACCGTGGACTTCAATGAGGAGCTGGTGGCCCTGTACGGCGGCAGTCTGCTCCGGCAGACCCACTTCCTGCATGAGAGCATTAAGGCCATCCTGAGGCTCTACAAGGTCGGACAGGGTTCTAGATACATATCGCATTTCATCAGCTGCTACATTTAAACTTTAAGGCATATAATTAATCTCTCTGACTTGTAAGTCTTGCTTTAGTAAAGAAGCTGACATGGCAACAATAGCTAATTATAGCCAATGGTAACAAGTGCAATCAGAATGCATCGTCAGTAGAAAATATTCATACGTTTATCAACTCGCGTTCCTTTTATTTTGTAACTATCTGGTAATCATATAACCCTAATGTTATTATAAGTGGGTTAAGTTTCTAACTAATCCGTTTTCTATTTTTCCTGCTCTCCAGCACCTGAAGACTCCGCCTCAGAGTGTGGTGCTTGTTGGTCACTCCATGGGAGGAGTGGTGGCCCGGGCGCTCTTCACTTTGCCCCGCTTCAACACCAATCTGGTCAGCCTCATCTTCACCCAGGCCTCCCCCCACCTGGCTCCGGTGCTGGCCCTGGACCCGTACCTGCTGGGTAAGGAGAACTCTCATGCTGGTCTCCCAAATGGTACATCGACACTTTGTGCTCCAAGATGTGTCCGAGACTTCTTCGTACTTTTCAAGCTCATAGCTGTAACGTCAACTTTGAATTCAGATGACTTAACTTTGTTATAATAGGTAACTCTTCTGCTTTAAAACGTCTAAAATCGACTAGACCTATGTTATGTATGTTGTTTAGCTTTGTAGTTACATGATCGCTGATGTTCCCAACAAGCCAGAAGCTCTGGTGAATGGACTTTTTATTTATTTTTAAGCCACATCTTTACGATACACGTTTAAGATCTTTGTGGTTTTTAACTATATATTTCAAGTTATCAGAAAAACAAGCTGAGCTAAAGTTAGCGGTAGCTCGGCTCGCAGCCCCTCCAGGACGTTCTGTGTGTGCTGACCAGGGACAAAGAAACACAGACTTTTAACCTGAAATGTCAGTGTGTCCGTTTGTTTTGGAGAGGAGACCTCTGCGGATAATTTGACTGAATAAGCTGACTGCAATAACTCCCACAATCCCTCTTCTTTTGTCTTCTGTCTCTGTGCTTTATGTAGATTTCTACTCTGCAGTGAGACAGAAGTGGGTGAACCAGGCGAAAAAGCTCAGGAACGTCACAGTTCTGTCTGTGGGGGGCGGTTACCGTGACTACCAGGTCCGCTCCGGCCTGACATCCCTGCCTTGTACCCCAGGAGACCCCAATAAGTTGTCCCTAGTGGTAAGTATTGTTTAGGGAATTTATTTAGTGGAACTTTTCCAAGAACCCTGGAACGTTTTTAAGAAAAGAGGAGCTTTACCTGAAAGGTAAAGAAAAATAAGTAGTTTTTTCGAGTTTGTAATTCCTGGAACTACTTGAAGCAAAAGAGGTCAGTGTTTGATTCTGCACTGCTCTTTGCTTTTTGTTTCAATGTCTTCTTGTTTTTTCTCAAGGCCACTGCAGTTCCCCGGACTTGGGTGTCCACTGACCATCTGTCCATCGTTTGGTAAAAGACATGGCATGACATGGCAGACTGTGTATTTCTTTCGAGCTACATTTAAATATAATGCAGATTATTAATATGCAGTGTATATGTCTTTGTGTTCCAGGTGCAAAGAGCTGGTCCTCGCTACTGTCAGGGCATTCTTTGACCTCATCGATCCTGAAACCAGACAGGTCAGAATAACAAACACATTTTCAAATGAATGCGTCTGTGAAAAAATACTTTGTGACGAAAAATGGAGGGATGTTGTCACAGCAGACAGACGAGTTGTAAGCCCGTGAAGTATTACATCTCAGATAAGGTTTGCGTCACAAGCACATGCCATCTGTTTCTAAGCTAACCAGTGTGTTGTTATTAGTTCACAGTAAACCCAGAGAAGAAAATGGCTGTGCTAAACCATCACTTCATCAGACACCCTGTCAGGATGCTGGGAGAAACTCAAGACACCTCCATCTCCATCTTAGGTTAGAGAGAAACACTTACCCATGGAGAGGCTGGAATAAACAGAGACACTGTGCGAGTAGCTTTCATTGGGCTTCCTGTCCATGTGCTTTTAAAGCCATACCTCCACATGTGTATTCATTGTACTGTATTATATTTGGAGTTTCACTGAGTCTTTAAAGCGAATGAATGTAGTTTTGATTGAGTGACACTATTAAGGAACCACTCGTACCTGTGTCCTGTTCTTTTCCCCTTTCCCAGATTTTCCTGAAGCATGGAGTGAAGTGAACACACTGCGTCTGGCTTACAGCACACCAAAGGTACCAGACTCTGCACCAATATATTAAATGGGTCATTTACATATTTAAGAAAACAAAACCGTGATACAGACAGAAAACTATTTGCCACGTCTTCAGTGTTGCTCTCTGTCCACAGGAAGGACAGGTCAAATACTTCCTGTTTGCCCTGTCGAGTCGCAGGAAAGCCTACAGCCATTTCTACTGCCGGAGCAACAACCTGGTGAGTTTTCAGCACCGTTGTGCAGATTGTCCATTTGGGTTTGAGCTAAAACCTACAAAGCTCCATGTCAATAGCCAAGTGCTAGACCACCCAATCGCCACCCATATCTTTCATTTGTTTAGTACAGAAGCCCAGAGATGGAAGTGAGATAAAAACTCTTTCTGGTGATCCATTTTCCATGTCTGTTTGTTTTTCTTCCATGACTTAAAGGGACAGTTCACCTAAAAATCAAATTTGCATATCTTTCCTCTTCCTTGGAGCGCTATTTGTCAATCTCCATTGATTTGGAGTGAGCAGCCAAGTGTTGGAGATATCGGCCGTAGAGATGTCTGTCTCTTCTCCACAATAATGGAACTAGATGGCGTTCTACTTGTGGTGCTCAAAGTCACAAAATAATCCATTAAAATACTCGACAGCAAAATAATCCATTAAAATACTCGACAGCAAAATAATCCATTAAAATACTCGACAGCAATATGTCTCTCCAGAAATCATGACCTGGCTACTGAAGAAAATCCACAGACCATGTTGTGGGCAGTTTCATGTAGAAACTATGGTTGAAAGGAAATAGTTCCTGTTTTAGACTTTAACTTCTTTAAATTAGTATTTCATCTGCCTCCTGTTTTCTCAGATGAAAAAAGTAACATAGATAGATGATGCTAGAAAAACCATTTTCCTCACCAAAAGTGAAGATGACCCTGGTAAAGTGCATTTCCACCTGTTCTTAAGTCATTAACACATGAGAGTAAACTATTTAGATCACAATCAGAAAATGGATCACCAGAATTTTGGGGCTTTCGTGGTTCAGTGATTCATAGAGATGAATGTACTGTATATGAACGATTTGAAGTACAAAAGCCACATATTCAGTAAAGTATAAACCAAAGTAATCTATACTTTTGTCAAAGTTCAATTCTGATTTGTTGATGTTCGACAGGAGATGACTAGCTGGGTGTACAGCTGCGTGCACAAGAACGGTTCTTCGTGGTAAGAATATGATAATGGTGTATCCTCTATGCACATCTTAGTTTTTCTCACAGTCCCGAATATGCTGTATGTCTTTTGTTGTTGTATTACAGTAAATGATGAATGTATTTCTATTTCTCTTCATTTGTGCTCTTTGAATTTTCCAGTGTGCAGGCGGTGGATCTGTCCATGGGAACTGAGCTACTGCCCCCCTACAAAGTAATCCTCCTCTGAGACAGCGTGCAGTCCAGTCTGAGCTGCTGCTGGTTGCTCATAACTGTCTGTGATCCTCCTCAGATCCTGATTCTGAGTCTCAGTGACTTGTCTTCAGTTACTCACCTGGTTGTTTCGGCCTCCAACCTCAATGGCAAGCAGGTACATTGTAAACGACTCTGTTCTCTCTGAAGATGGGATGCTTCTCTCTCTGTTCTTTGTCTGTCTATCTTGCTGGACTGCTGGAAGAGAAGACACAGTAACGGGACATACGAGTCAACCGCCTTGCTAGTGGCTCTGTGAGGATGTACCTCTGCACAGCTGGGCTTTGAGCTGAATGCTAACGACAGCATGCTAACACACACAGCTGGTGACATGTTTCCATCACACACAGGTGGTTGGTCTGCCAGAGAGAGTAGGCGGAGCTAACGCAGGAGACTCGCTCTTCAACTTACTTGTGTGAAGTTTCTTCTGCTCTCTGCTAGCCCTGCATGTTGACGTTAAATATTGCTGAACAAACAAAAACGCTGAAACTTCCTGAGATCCTAAAACACACGGGCAATTACCGTTTTTCACCATAGAACAGCACCCTTATCTTGAATTATCACTCATTTTAATTTATACAAATTACATTACATTTGTTTTGTCCACAGTTCACAGTGGAATGCGAGTGGCAGAGACAAGAATCTCAGACTCTGTCTGTCCCAGTGCCACATGTTCTGTCCTCCGGTGAGTAGTGTTACTGTTGATGTGGATTCTGTTAAAGACACGTTCCTTTTCAGTAACTGTTGGGTTTTCTAGGTTTGACAGTCAGCGATATTTCGGTCAACTCCTCTGGACTTCTTCACACCATCAAGCTGCAACACTTTGACCAGGTAGCTTTCATTGTTTCATTAGGTGCTGGCTCGACTCAGTATCTCTGTCCCTACTGTGTAACTAAACTGTGAACACGTCTCTGTCTTCAGGTCTATCAGGCTTTCAGAATTAGTGTTACAAGCCAGTGTAAAGTAACTAAAGGTAAGTTTGTCATGTGATACACAAGCAGGCTACTGAAGCCCTGAGAGGCAAGTGAGAAAAACAAATTCTGGTCTTCTGTTTTCTACGTCTGATCGAAATAGTTTTCTGTCCTGTGCTTAAAACAAGGACAAAAAAATGGTTTTGCAGGACTTTTTTTTTTTTTTTTT